GATGTAAATGACAATTCTGCTATGTCAGTTTAAATTTCAGTAGGTAAAGGTATATCTTATCTTATCTTATTTTAAAAATGACTCAACTTCAACTTTATGCAAAAGAAGTCAGTTGGGCGCAACACAGCAGGCTCACCAAGCTCAGATCGAATTGTAAAACTAGACAATTTACAACACAAAAGTGTTCACATATTTTGTTATTCAATGCAATTCAAAATAGTTGAATATGTAGATATTTGTTTTTAAATATATTTATATAAATATGAATACACTAACTTTTCAGAGGATCTTTACAAAATTATATTATAAAAAGTTTGGGCGTTATATTCTGATAACATAGATCAACTGATTTACAGCCAATAAAATTACTACAGATGAAGATTTTTCAATACGTTTCTGTAATTGTATGAATTGTAGTTTAAATATAGCCAGCAACACATGCTGTCCAATTTAGTGAACAAATAATTTATTGTAAGTAATATATAAATAAATAAATATAAAATCAATACTTTTCAACTGTATTTGTTACTTGATGTTACCAAACTGAATTTACCCACAGGATCTCCTACTGTAGAAGTATTGGAGAGATATTCCTGAGCAGCTCAGCGTTTCCGCTCTTCTGTCGGTGATCTTGGGTTTGTGAAAAAAACGGCTGGCCAATGGGTGGCAGTATATGGGATTATACACTAGCATCTGCTGTGGTGGCACAAACTCATGTATATACAAGAAACCAGCTTTTGAAGCTCAATAATCAGTCAATAATCTTGTGAACCATAAGATTTCTCTTGGAACTTCTTTGGAGGTCCCAGTCCCTTGGTTATGAACTGTTGTTTTAATAAAGTTATTCAGTCTTTAACAAAACAGGGCAGCTGTTGCTCAGGAGGTAGAGTGGGCCGTCCATTGATCAGAAGGTTGGTGGTTTGATCCCTGGCTCTTCCCCTCTACATGTTAAAGTGTCCTTGAGAAGATACTGAGCCCCAAGATGCTGTGGACCGATATCAATATGTGTGAATGAGTATTAGTTTCTGTTTGTGATGTAATTTGCCATCACTGTGTGAAGGCATGAAATGGAAAATCGCTTTGAGTGGTCGGAAGACTAGAAAGGTGCTATAGAGTCCATTTACCAACAATAACAAAAAAATAGAAAGTATTTGTCATATCATACTAGTGGCACCTAAAGATTATAGCAGAAGCTAAAACCAAATTATCCATAAACAGTACCATCACAGAGGCTTAGTTGAATGTCACTTTTCTTTGGACATCAGGTGTTATTTGTACCTGAAGACTTGGCTTACATCAGGATCTACAGGTACTCCTGTGAAGGAGAATAATTTGGTGTCTGCAAGGTTTGCAAACATCCAAAAAGACATCAGAGTGAGGATGAAGCTACATGCTACAGTGTTATGTGACAGTCAGCTGAAAAAAGCACCTTTCTGGTCAGGCAAAACTTAGAGATCAAAGGTGACAAGAGCCTTATCTTCAGGATGGAATAGTGGCATACAGTGGGGAGAACAAGTATTTGATACACTGCCGATTTTGCAGGTTTTCCCACTTACCAAGCATGTAGTGGTCTGTAATTTTTATCATAGGTACACTTCAACTGTGAGAGACGGAATCTAAAACAAAAATCCAGAAAATCACATTGTATGATTTTAAAATAATGAATTTGCATTTTATTGCATGACATAAGTATTTGATCACCTACCAGCCAGTAAGAATTCTGGCTGTCACAGACCTGTTAGTTTTTCTATAAGAAGCCTTCCTGTTCTCCACTCATTACCTGTATTAACTGCACCTGTTTGAACTGTATAAAAGACATCTGTCCACACACTCAATCAAACAGACTCCAACCTCTCCACAATGGCCAAGACCAGAGAGCTGTGTAAGGACATCAGGGACAAAATTGTAGACCTGCACAAGGCTGGGATGGGCTACAGGACAATAGGTAAGCAGCTTAGTGAGAAGGCAACAACTGTTGGCGCAATTATTAGAAAATGGAAGAAGTTCAAGATGACGGTCATCTCCCTCGGTCTGGGGCTCCATGCAAGATCTCACCTCGTGGGGCATCAATGATCATGAGGAAGGTGGGGGATCAGCCCAGAACTACATGACAGGACCTGGTCAATGACCTGAAGAGAGCTGGGACCACAGTCTTAAAGAAAACCATTGGTAACACACTACGCCGTCATGGATTAAAATCCTGCAGCACACGCAAGGTCCCCCTGCTCAAGCCAGCGCATGTTCAGGCCTGTCTGAAGTTTGCCAATGACCATCTGGATGATCCAGAGGAGGAATGGGAGAAGGTCATGTGGTCTGATGAGACAAAAATAGAGCTTTTTGGTCTAAACTCCACTCGCTGTGTTTGGAGGAAGAAGAAGGATGAGTACAACCCCAAGAACACCATCCCAACAGTGAAGCATGGAGGTGGAAACCTCATTCTTTGGGGATGCTTTTCTGCAAAGGGGACAGGACGACTGCACCGTATTGAGGGGAGGATGGATGGGGCCATGTATCGCGAGATCTTGGCCAACAACCTCCTTCCCTCAGTAAGAGCATTGAAGATGGGTCGTGGCTGGGTCTTCCAGCATGACAACGACCCGAAACACACAGCCAGGGCAACTAAGGAGTAGCTCTGTAAGAAGCATCTCAAGGTCCTGGAGTGGCCTAGCCAGTCTCCAGACCTGAACCCAATAGAAAATCTTTGGAGGGAGCTGAAAGTCCATATTGCCCAGCGACAGCTGAAGGATCTGGAGAAGATCTGTATGGAGGAGTGGGCCAAAATCCCTACTGCACTGTGTGCAAACCTGGTCAAGAACTACAGGAAATGTCTGATCTCTGTAATTGCAAACAAAGGTTTCTGTACCAAATATTAAGTTCTGTTTTTCTGATGTATCAAATACTTATGTCATGCAATAAAATGCAAATTAATTACTTAAAAAAAATACAATGTGATTTTCTGGATTTTTGTTTTAGATTCCGTCACTCACAGTTGAAGAGTACCTATGATAAAAATTACAGACCTCTACATGCTTTGTATCCAAATACTTCTTCTTCCCGCTGTAGGTAGAATATGCCTGGAGGACGAGGCTGGTCGTTTTAATGCTCTAATGAAATTCTCTCTGTGAGCAATCACTGGAGAACAACAGAGATGCATATTTAATGCTGCTACACTTTAGATGTCAGAATGTCCTCATATTAGAGTAACATTACATCATCTCAGCTACAACATATTGTAAATATTTTCATAGCAGCACTTACAGCAATGTAATGAAAGATGGTCTATGTTATATGCAATACAACATTAACCCACAGGACATTGCACATGTTCATATTTTCTGTATTTAACATTGGCATGTGTTAAATATCTCATCACTCTATTGCTAGTTGGTATAAAATGTTGTGGTCAATATCCCACAGGTGGGAAGTAATTCGTCAATGTACTTAAGAAGTCTTTTAAGGTATCTGTACTTTACTTGACTATTGATTTTTCTGACAAACTTTTACTTTTACCCCCCACGTTTTACACAAATACCTTTCTACACCTTACATGACAAGAACAAAAATTACCTAAAAGATGAAACAGTAAAGAAGCTGAATCAGTACTTCTGCTTTAGTCTTTTTTTATGTGTGTACTTTTGCCACCTTTGCAATATCTCAAAGTAACTGCATTAAAGGACCAGTGTGTAGGATTTAGTGGTATATAATATTATATTCAGTTTCTTCCAATAGATCCTCCTAATTGTTACACAATAGACCTTTAAAAGAAAGATGTTTCACCCTCATAAGCGTGAACATATATACAAAGGTGCAAATAATATACACTGGAAGCGTTTCATTTCACATATGATAGAGAATCATACAAGAGAGAAATACAAGGATACAAGATAGTTGAATTGTCATTTTACAACGCAGCCTTGTATAATGAACTTTCAGTAACATTGTCGGGAATATCTACACCAACAATGCTTCAGATCACACTTTGTGTCTTTCCTTGTTTGCCTAACCTTGTGTGGCAGCTGGACCTGCGAGATATCACAAAACATGGCCTTTGCTATTGCTTTTTGTAGTAGCAACAGTAAAGTTTACACAGCAAAGTCACTCAATAATATCTCTATCTAAACAAATCTAAAATTTCCTAATATAAAACACACAAATATCAGTGAGTATCACTCCTTCCTAGTACATCACATCACATAGTCCATCCTTCAAATTTGTGGCACACTAACATAAACACTTAGACTACATACAGACAGCTTTATTCATTATTAGATTAACGAGCATGCTGAAAATTTGGCTTGTGGGTCAATGGAAACATCAGTGAGGCAAGTGTTTTTAAGATCACTTTTGCTTGTATTATGTGTATTCCTAAATAAGTTTTTGCAGGGGGATCTAAGGGGAATTAACTGAAAAATGTTCCCTTAGCACACCACACATTTTTAAACAGGGACCAGCACAGAAAAGTAGATAAAGCTAAAATGAAGAGTAATGCCCTCAGTTCAAGAGCACAAGAGACATGTCAGCAAAACCTAGAACAGTGTGAGGCGTGCGGTTGAGAGATTTTTGCACTGTCACCGTGAACAGCAGAGACAAGTGCAAAGATCAGTTAGACACATATGTCTGGAATTTCTCCAACGGTTGTGTAATCTGTGGGTTGGACCTGACCTGAAATAACACTTACTGTTGGGTGCTGCCAATGATGGAAGTCACAACTTAGTCTCAGATATGTGAAGCACTGGTATTTGCATACTTCAACCATTTTAGAGTGAATATGGACATAATTCCTATCTGGGCTGGCTACATTTGAAGTTAGATTCATGTCTATACATGCTGTTATATTTTAAGTAACTGGGTAGATTTTACTCTTAAAACATTTTATCTTAATGACTTTCTTTCACATTGCAACATTTAACACATCTGAAGCAGGTTTTCTGTGAAGTGATTTATGGTTGCATTTAAGTTGTAGACTTGTTGCATTACCTTAAAGAGCAATTACTATGACATGAGCTGATAGAAAAGTTTATTAAAAAGGCATTTTCCATCCATTACAACACCCAACGGAAATGCAGAGAATAAATGCAAAGAATATTTACTAATAAAGCTCATCGATAGCTACAGCAAGAGTGAAGGGGAGAAACAGAGAGATTCTGTTTCCATGTAAGTGAAGTAGGAGAGGAGGTTAAGGTATACACTCTCTAAAGAAGGAGAACTGTGCTAAGCACCCTGTAAGCCATGGAGAAGGTGACCAGCATCCCCAGTATCCAGGACAAACCTCTGCTAGGCTGAGGCAGAACGGTGATGTAGGAGATGGTGTGAAAGATCCGACAGCCAGCAAACAGACGGAAGTGCAGCAGAGCAGCTGAAAGCTCAGGTCCAGTCAGAGCGTAGAGCAGGCCGATCAACATGAAGGGAATAACATTCTCCAGGTCATTCTGGTGACACCTGGAGAACAAAAGCACACAACATGACTAAGTAATGCCTATTAACACATTAGAACTTATTGTATAGGGCTGGGAATCTATACGGTACATAGTTTCAAACATACCGTATTGTCTTTCATTTATAATCCTTTTGATAATGATGTATGACAGTGATTATGCAATGATGATATAATCCTTCCATCCATCCAGCACACACTAAGGCACTGTGACTGTTTGATTTGTATTATTAGTAACAGAGAACCACATCTGTATACCAACCCTGGTCTAAATGCTGTTTCAGCAGTTTGAGACCTTAATAGGGATAGAATTCAGGGGGTAACACCACTGTGGTAATCTCTAGTTTCGAGTCTTCTTCCATATAGCATTATGTTCATTTAGTAAATTATGGTCCCATTCAGACTAAAATAGACATGGATATGTTTTAGGGCATGGCTATCCTGCGATTGACAAGTCATTTTCAGTCCATCCAACTCAAGGCACCAAACTGAGATCAAACTCTCAATCAAATAAGGATCAATATTCTGTTATTTGCCTATTTCTTGCTTGAAATGTTTCCAGAAATATATTTTAGTGTACTGTTTATCTGGAATATGAGAATGTGTGTGACCAGGCAAGCCACCATTGTTTCCGGCTACAGATGAGCTGAAGCCAAGTGCAGCCATTGTCAGTAGCTGGCTACAAAAAAACATGACAATGGCCATAATGCCAAACTTGAGACATCTAAACAGTACTCCACAAACCAATGGGAGTGATACTTGGTTAATACTGTGGAGTTTTTTCATGGTTACAAGTGGTTAAATGTAGTAAGATGTGGTGTATGATGATGGCTTTTGGCTGCCCCCACACTTCAAAACCTATATAGGTAAAGAGAAAATACATCTTTTTTACTGTTTGAGCAATGTTGTTACAACTGGTGGCTGCCACCTATGGTCCCACAAAATATTTCTAAAAATCTGCTATTTTCTGATGAATTACCACTGTATCAATTCTAGCACCTGCATTTCAAGGCCAGATCATCTCACCTTCGAGCTCGCTCGACATCTGGGTGGGCTTTCAGCAGTTTCTTTTTCTCCTCAGCAGACTTTCTGCTGACATCTTCCTCATTTGCGTAGGACTAAATGAAATAACACATGCATTGACTCAAAGTCTGTAGTTTTTACCAGTCTCTACCTTTACCTTTCTACCAGAAGTTAGGTTGAAAAACTGTTCAGTGAGCATAATAATTATGTCTAATTTATTAGGCTAAACACATCCCTGGATCTGGACCGATATATTGGTTTATGTTGGCCTATCACAGGCAGCCTATCAATATCAGTATTGTATCAGTATCAGCAAATATATTATCCGATATTCAGGTGTTTTCTTTTATATAATTTCCCCACGGGATTATTAAAGTATGTCTGATTCTGAGAAAGAAATGACCTGATCTATTTGAAAAGTGTCCTGAGATAACTTCTGTTATGAATTGGCACCATACAAAAAAAAATTAATTGAATTGAATTATCCTCAGAGGTCTCCCCCTCTCCAAAACAAACTGGCCTAAAATGTGGCCTAAAACTGGACAAAATGTCACAATGCACAAAGGGGATATGTCACCATTGACAGAACTGAGCACTGATGAGCACTGACCACGATCATATCTGTGAATTTTTCCCCTCTAAAATCAGAATCAGTCTCAAAAATCCTATATCGATTGGGCTCTATACCCTGTACATAAAATCATATATCAAACTAATCTAATACACATTTATGTTGTTTTAATATATGCAGAAAGCTATGTTATTGTTACATACCCCTCTGGTGATGCGGTAATATGCAGTCAGGGGCGCCATCAGCATCATCTTAAGAATGACAATAGCAGCGTAGGTGGTGAAAGCCATAAATACCTCATCTTCCATCAGATTTGCCATCTCTGCTGGTTTACAACTGAAAAACATTGAGGAAGAGGTGGTTAGTTTACCATAGGCTGCATACAGATGGTTTATAACCTGAAGAAAACAACAAGACTATGAATGCACAGAATGTGTGTGTATGTAGATCAAGTTAAAAAGTTAAATATCTGTGAAAGAAACAGACAAAGCCCTAAAAACCACAGAACAGGCTAGTTTCACTTTCTAACTGTGCCTGAGGGATTCAAAACAAGTCTTGTCTAAGCTCTCTCAGGAAGTCAAAACTGTATAAATGATCTAGTGTCAAAAACAGTCAGTACCATTTACATTTTACCAGCTCAACTTACGTCCTGTGGTGACCCTGAAAAAGTGGAACGAGTCTAGATCTGTTGCATAAAAAAAATACTGACCCGTCACCCATAAACTCAGGAGGCGGGACAACTACTCCCCTACAGCACAATACACAATATCTGTGTGTGGGAGTGTCTCTGTGCGTTCACACCAATGAAACTCCAAATGCTCAGCATACTTAAAAGGCTTTCCTAGAATAATGACTTGCATGTAAATTTAAAGCTCCATCCAAAACAAATTTTAATGTATGTCAAAATACTGCTATACTGAATGTTTTGTTTAACATGGCTTTCCAACATAAAAAATAAAACAAACAAGTGTTGTAAGCATCTTTTACTGATTGATTGTTATGTTGTTTTTTTAACTTGTAACTGACAGAGGCTGACAGTGTTAGTGGTTGTGAAACATGTATATATTGTCACATTGCAATTACATTGTAGAAAACTGCACAATCTACAATATTTGCTATCAAAACCTTCACCATGCTAACTCTCTCTGTACTGACCACTCCCCTCTGTCCTGGAGGGTTCAGGTTTCTTTAATTATCTTAAGTTATCTTAAACCTGCATTCTTTCTAATAAATTATGGTCCCATCTAGAGTAAATTAAAAAGCAGAGTATGCTTCAGGGCGTGGCTAACTTGGCAGATTAAATCATATTTTAGTGTACTGTTTATCTGGAATACGAGAACATGTGTGACCAGACAAGCTGCCATAGTTTTCTTAGTTTCCTTAAAAGCGGCTCAAATTGCAGTACGTCACTGCCCTGATTCAGAAAAACTACCAGGCAACGGCCATAATGCTAAACTCGAGGCCTCAAAACGATACTCCACACACCAGTAGGTGATATCACAAGGTCTGAAACAACCTAAAAGCCTAAAAGATCTCAAACAGTGTATGGTAAACATGTGGCTTAAAACTGGATAAAATGTCAATTTATGACAGCTACTCGTAGACAATCACAACGTTGACACATGCACAAAGGGGATATGATGCCATTGACAGGCAACCGGTGAAATGCACCGTTACTGTTACAGATTTCTCTGGGTTTGAACATTGGTGGAAACATTTGGGATAATGTAGATATACAACTCAACTAGATATAGAACATAGCTCTATTGTTTATAGACATTTTAATGCAGAAATGTTACAGCTTTATTCCCTGGCCATTAATCAGCTCTTAATTATGTCAGCAGTATTTTTGTATTATGATTTACATCTTTATATTTAATATCCAATGCACTGAATTTTTTGTTGTTTGCATATTTTTTTGAATACAATTCCAGTGCCAACATAAATTTAAGAAACATCTGTTTGGGTCTTTTTCTGAGCACTTTGAATGATTTGAATTACTCAACAGAGTAGGGATCAGGTGTGTACAACTATTGCATGTTCACCATGCCTATGGGCTGATGCCTAAGTTTGACCTGTGCCACATCATACAAGGCCGAACCCTATTACTCTGTATGCTATGTGAATATACCTGCAATGACCCATTTAGACTGATGTGGGTCCCCTCATCTGAGAGGGGATTTTGCTGTAGCACTGTTAACTTTCTTAAGCCTGCCACTGGGTGATTCAATTCAAAATCGAACATTTTAATGTCATTTAATCTACAATGCCATATATATGTATGTATATATGTAGTTTAAATGTAAATGGGTTAAGGAATAAAAACACAATTGAAATAATAAATAATTGCAAATATACAGTACAGCTTCACTTTCACTCAGGCTCTCTTTAGGGGGGGTTTCACATGGGGGTGGGTTTCTGTTTCGATCAAATTTACATCACAATCCGGACCTTAATTTACATTATAGGCACCAAAGAAACAATATAATCAGCAGTCACTTGTGATTTGTTTACCCGAAAGAGCGAGAGAGAGTGCACGAGAGTGTGCACTGAAAAAATACTGTCCTTCAACCAGCTCACTTCCGGAAATTTTTTCACAATTGTAGTTGTGTTGAATAAAAACATAATACAGTGTTTTTACTTTGAAAAGGAAGTTTAAACTGTCCCGATTCATACTGCAGTGTTACTGCTGTAATCTGTCAACATGGGACATTCTGCCATGCATATGCTGACCTTGTGAACCACAGGTGATAGAATAAAGGCCCTACCTTTTACTTTGAAATGTGTTTACTCTTGGCACTTTTGACATTATTAAATAGTCGTGGACAGCCTGATATAGTAGACAGGAAACATGGGGAACAGGAGAAGGGCATGATCAATAAACTGTAAATGTTGCCATATACAAGTCAATATCCTAGCAGAGTCACAACAATTACCAGGTACACATCAACATCCTCCTAATTAAGTCCTAATTATGATTTAGAAAGCTGGAATATGTCCAACTGTCAAGTAGTCTACTTAATAATATGGGATTTTATTCTGTAGAGGCCTCACGTCAAGAGAGGTCCACCGCTCGAGGCATCTGAACCGAACCCGTATTTGTATTAGTGTTGTATTGCCAACAGAGGTGTAGTGCAATTTGTTAAAGTACTGAAGCTCACCTATGATGGTTGAGTTGTGGCTCGTTCCAAAGGTTATGTAAGCACAAATGTTAGGTAAACATTGCATTAAGCACTATAGGCGAATGAACACTAGTAGTTTATGTTTTGAATGATTTAATTTACTGCTTTGTGTTGAGCGAATGAAGCCCCATTACAACCATCCATTCTGAGGAAAAGTTGCAGTTCAGGCAACTCATCTAAGGCATTGTGGATGCAGCATAAGATAGCCAAGTTTAGGCAGGCTTTGTAATGTTTCTGTGCATCACAAATAAAGAAACCATCAGAGTGATGATGAGTGAGAGGATGTTTTGTTACCTTTTCATATTTACTTGTTAACGTTAGCTAGCTGGAGCAAAGACCAGGAAAAAAATCATAATGCACTGCGCTGCGAAGGCTACTGGCCTAAGCTAGGACGAAAGGTACAAAAATTTAACAGTCAGACAGAAATTTTTTGGGGGTGTAAACTTCTCTGTAGCGCATTTTAAAGTTTTTTTTAAAGGGGTTTGAATTAAAGGTTTTTCCTTTACCAATGGAGGGTCTAATGATAGATGGTGTCGTAAGCTGTACAGGTTGTAAATCCCCTTGAGATAAATTTGTGTTGGGCTATATAAATAAAGTTTAATTGACTTGACAGTTTTATAACTAGGTTCGGGAACAAAGGCCACGCCCTGCACTCATCTCATTTCTGCTCCAACTTACTTAAGCACACCTTATCCGTTCACTCCCTCCTTGACTCATTTTCCACATAATCTGCATCAGACAGGAAACACAAAAATGAATACCTCGAACCACAGAGAATAAGTTCATCCTCAACCCTTTAGACAGCGACATGTTTGAAGACGAATGGCAAACTCACAAAATCTCCTCCGAGTCCTCTTCTTCGCCTACCATTCCTTCTCGTCAGCCCCCCCGGCTCCGCTCAACAATCCACATGCCCCGCCGCTCCCAGCCTTCATCCACCAACAACTCCAACACCATCGGGCCTTCGCCCCCCAACAGGTCCAGGGGTGATGACGTCACGGCGCATCCCACGGCCCACCCTTCCTCATCAGCCCTCTCAGAGGGCCAGGTCATACCACCCCCAGTACCTGCCATTACACATACCATATTCCGTTCGCATCCCAAGCCTGCAACAATTCAATCAAGGAACTCACGGGGGCTCACTAGATCCAGAACTCTACTGCCGTGTTCTCACAGCTGGCTCTTCCCTGAATCGCGACCAACGCGGCGCGGCGCCCCACCCCATCCCTCCACAACATGCACCTTCACAGCTTCTTGCCCCGAACCTTACCTCAAAAATCAATCTATGCCCTCTAGACCCACATCCATCACCCCCAAATCCGCAAAACGTTCAACCATGGCCCTTGCTCCAAGGGTGTCGACGAGAGAAACAGACCAGTCCTCTGCCATGCCAAGATGATGGTTCGTAACAGTTCCAACAACCTCAGAAACAACGTTTCCAGTTGCTGTTTGCTCCTCACCTGCTCCTTCTGCGGCATGCTTACGAGTCAATTCGAAGTCTCTTTGGGGGCCCTCTACAAGAGATACGAAGAAACAGCTCCAACACTCAGTCTCACAACCCACTTGGTTCCCTCTTACCATCGCGCCTCACCCTCCATTCATCCATCCGCCAACAAACCTTCATCCCTCAACCCTCGACCCCTACCCTGATCCCTCAGTCCTCAACCCTCCTCCCTTCATCCCTCAACCCTTGACCCCTACCCCTCATCCCTCATCCCTCCTCTCTCAAATCATACCCCTCATCCCTTCAACCCTCATCCCCTCATCCCTCATCCCTTCATCCCTTCATCCCTCAACCCCTTCACCTTATCCCTCACATCGGTTCACATTTGTTCATTATGTGCAATAAACTTTTCTTATTTCATACATTCAATGGTGTGGTCATTGTTAGTGAACTGCCTTGAGTTGTCAGATTGTGAGAACGTGCACAGGATGATGCAAATGCAGAATAACACCAACTAAACCACGAGGACAACCTCTTTTTAGATGATTCTGAAGACCATTTTGAATATACTAGCCTGGAACAAAATCATCAAGTCTGTTAAAAACATTGTTAATTATAAACAAAAATAATTTTACAGTACATGTGTAGCTGCCCAATCCTGTGACAAACATAACACAAAGCTATTTCATTATATAATACACATTAAAAGTTTATTTTATTGTTAAGGTCATGACCATTTTTGGCAAAGAAAAAGTTGGGAAAGACAATACAATACATTTCTACTCATGAAAACAAAAGCTCCCCCTAATTTTCCCCCGATGGATTCCACTGCTGTCTTCAATGCAGCCAGCCTGTTTTTCATCCTTTCATCAAAGCTCACTGAACACACTGTCTCCAGACTGTGGCTAGACTTCAGTTTTGTAAAGTCAATATCACTTTTGTCTCAAACATTGCTCTCATTTTCCTTTAATCAAAGTGTGTCACGTTGGTGTGTTTTGAGAGCCAGGTGCTTGAAACACTCAAACAAAGAGCCATGTCTTACCAGCATGAGGTGCTTTGAAAAGTGTGCAAAACACCTGATAAAGAGACCAAGCTCGTTATTTCTTCCCGTTCACCAGCCCCTCTCCCTGTCACATCCAGTAAGCCCAGTGCAGT